AAAGAGTATTTTTTATGTGAAATATTTTCAGAAGGTAAATAAAAATAAAAAAATAAAAAAAATGTATTTACACTATTTTTCTATTTATTCTAATAATAGTATATATATAATATTTATATGCAAACAAAAGAAATAAATCAAATAAATATGCCATATATTCAAAAAATGATGGAAAAAATATTTTTAATTTTTTAATGCCATGAGAAAAAATAAACAAAGTCAAACAAAAAAGAAAAAGTCAAAAAGAGTCAAAAATGAAGCAAATGGGCTCAGGGGGTGTAAACATGGAAATAGGGTGTGAAAAGAAAATAGTTCCAGGCCCAGCCCAGACCACTTCTTCTTCAACCTCTGTACAACATCCTTCAAGCAAAACACGCATTTTTTATCTCTGGATTCCTGGACTTTCAAGCAAAACTCATAACATGAAAAGTGTAGAGCATTAAGAGACGGTTTCAACCATATAAAGAACTTGACCTATCTCTCTAAGACGAGGGAGAATTTCTCCTCCCCCAATTTCTGACCTAACTTTTCATCAATGTTCAGACATGAAATTCTCTAAGCACACGAAATATAAATGAAATCTAATCATATGAGCATGTTCAGGGCTATGATTGTGACATGTTTTCTTCAAAAACCTAAAGCTAACAATGCCTAATAAGGGAGATAGAACTCCATGAATATACCTGTTCAGTTGGAATCGAGCTTTGCAATGGAGGATGTTTCAGAGTGAAATGATGACTTGTATAGCTTCCTTGAAGTGTAAGGATGCTTTTCCAAGTCCTACTTTGTCTTGAAACTCCCTGAATCGAGCTAGTGAACTCCAACTGCAAAACAGAAATTTAAAAATGGTGAAGTGGCTTGGAGGTGTTACAGGTCAGGTTTCAGGACATGGTTAGCTTGCATATGTTGTAAGGAAGGTAGAGGAACAAGTTTGGACAAGAATGCTCGAAGGGATTGAGAGATAGCACTCAATCTGCAGGGCTTGCTCTGTTTGAGCAGTTTTGTGGTGTTTCTGAGATGGAGAGTGCTTGAGAGGCAAATGGCTCGTGCAAAAGCTTGGTTATGTTATGTGGAATGTGTTTGATAACTTCTCCCTTGTGTTTGTAAGCTGAGACGAGCTATGGCACAAGTTATGCAATGTTACTTGAAAATGAAACAAGCAAAGGTCACTTTGTGTTTTTAGGTCAGTAGGGGCCTCTAATCCTGCTGCATAAGCCTCTCTTGATCAGAGCAATTTGCCCATAATCTTGTGCCAAAAGGATTTTGCTTGTACCTTCTTGGATTTCAATTTGACATAAAGTTAATCTTTTTCAAAAATAGAAAGTTCACTTTATCTAGTTTAGGATTAATCCACTATGCAATGTTAGAACACAAAGAACATGGTCTTAACACATTGAATATGCATTAAATTATTGAGTATGGAATGGTTCAAGGACCTGTAATCAAGCATAAAGCAAGCTAAGTTCAGATTTGCAAAGTTATGAACATGTTCATGAACCATTCAAAAGTGGATTTTTGCCAACTTGTGAAATTCGAATCTCTCAAGTTATGAGGTTGTTTGATGAGTTCTTGGACATTTTGGAAAGCTTGGAATGTGTACTACAATCCATCTTTGAAATGCAAATTGAAATTCTAAGTGGAAGGGTATGAAAAGTGGCCTTGAAGTGGGGTAGAAAACCTTGTCAAAATAGGTTAAAATTTCACTAAGTTAAAAGTGGTTTAGTGCCCTTATTCAAAAAATTGTAACTTGATATACAAGCTTCAAATGAGAAAACTTTGTGAATCAAAGTTGTAGATTATGCAACAAGATACAACTTTCATGTTTTGACTTTTGTTTGAATCCAAATGGATCTTGGTGAAAAGATGGGGCAAAGTTGGGGAAAAAAATAGGGTTTTTCATAACTTAGAAAAATTCTAAGTTATGAAAAATTCCATTTTCAAACCCTAATTTGCATTTTGTGATTTCTTGGTGAACAAGTTTCATGATTTGGCAAGTTTTGATGAAAAATGAATCTTGACTCTTGATTTTGACCAAAAAGTCAAAGTTTGACTTTTCAGTATACAGTCAAAATTGATCAATTGACTGGGAAATTCAACTGTCAATCTTGTGTACTTGGGATCTTTTGAGCTTGATGAATGTGTCAAGACCATTTCATTGAGTCCTTGAGTCCATATGTGAACTTGGTTTGCCATTGGCTAGGTCAAACAGTCAAAAATTGCCTTTGTGCAGTCAAAACCCTAAAAATGACCATTTTGCCCTTTTGGTGATCTGATCAAATTTCTTGTGGAATTGTGATCCAAACTTGATCAAATGGTCCATATGAGTTCATAATGTTGATGTGGATCAAATTTCATGAGGTTTGACTGTCAATTGGCCACAGTTGACTTTTTCCCCAATACAGCTGATTTCTAGGTCAACTGTCCAATTGACTGGGCAAAATTTGGAATCAAGACTTGGAACTTGGTATAGGTAAGCTTGGGAGTCCAATATGAAGCATGAAAGTCATCTTAGGCATTTTAGGTCAAAACATCCTTGGGCAAACACAAACCCTAATTTGAGTCCACAGTGCAAGGAGGAGTCTTGAGCAGAGGAAACCCTAACTGGATCTTGATCTTCAAAGGTCTTGTGATGAGAAAATGTTGAGGAAATGGGAGGGCAAATTTTGGGGTACAACAGGGGAGCATTGTGACTCACACTTGAGGGGGAGTGTTGAGAATCAAGTGTGAGTAAGAAGTCCCACATTTCACTTATATATGAGAGAACCCACTCATCTATCACCTTAAGGTTTTAGATGGACAAGTGGTGTGTCTCTCACAAAGGTGTGTCCCAAGTAAAATGCTCTCTCCTCGGAATTGCCCCTACAAATTCGCCCCCAACAACTCTCGCCAACTTAAAACTTTGTTTGTCCTCAAACAAAAGTCACACAAACCTACAAAAGAAACTACCAAGAAATCATGAATCAACAAGTTTGAAAAACAAAAACAAATGCATGGTTCAAAATCAAAAGTATAAACAAAGTAATGTTTACCACTATACTACAATGATACCATGATCATGAAACAAATCCTCAGTACAAAAGTCATGCCAAACATTCAAAAACAACACATGCTCAATCATGAATCACACATAGCAAAAATTTCATCAATGGATGAAAAACACACAAACATGAGGGAATTGACTCTAACCCAATAATCTTGCTAACAATAGATTAAATTATGCATTCATAAAATAAAAAAACGTTTTAAAAATATAAAAACAAGAATCAGAAGGACTTTCAAGGATTGTAATTGGACTTGGTTTACAAAGAAGGGTCATATCTAAATGCCAATGAAACAAAATTTCCTAAACCTATAAGAGCAATCACTTCCACATTTTCAAGCAATCAAAAATAATTCACCCTTTTCTCTTTGCTCATTTGTTACAACATTAATCTTATTTTTTCTTTTTTATTTTCTTTTATTTTCTTTTTTCACATCTTTCTCATTTTTTTTATTTCTTTTTTCAACCACTTTATTTTTTTTCAACCACTTACAACTAAACTTTAAGCAATCAATCTTTTGACTCCTCAACTTGAATACAACCAAATATCATGACATGAATGCTCCAAACTTTCTAAGGAAAAGAAAAATTCCAACAACAATATATGATGGTTGAGGGTTCAAGTGCTTTAGAAACAAAATCAGAATCCATGATAAACTACTTACTCATGCATACGTTCATAGTTCAACACCAAGATGGATCCTGACAAAAAGACTCAAAGGGTTGAACAAATTCTCTCTCACTCACAAGGTAAATTATTTTTGGTTAAGTGATTAAGCTCAATTTAAAAAAAAAATACCTTGATCCTTTTCATTCTTTCATACAATTCAACACAAATACAATATTAAACATAATAAAACTTAGTTAAAACAAGAATGTTGGTCTCCCGTACATATAGTGAACTATGAAAATCTTCCTCACATTTGGGGTAAGATCTAAAGTGATTCAATCATGAACAAATAGTACAAAAGAATGAATGGCATAACATTTGTACAAATTACAAGTTTCATATTCATGTTATATTCTAGAAAGTGATAAATGTGTACCTTGACAATGTACCAGACTTTCAAACACTATCATTATCAAATATTTACATGTTGAAATATTCAAACTTGAAAAAATCACTCCATGTTTCTTCAAATCATTAGACCAATCTTTGAATACAAACAACAAACAAAAATATTAAAAATTAACTACTACTATTTACTACTCTAAATTTCCTTGGTAAAAGTGGGTAAGAGGGTCGAGTGAAAATAATTTCCACTGGTACAACAACAGGGTGCACTTAGCCGCACATACTATACTTAGCGTGCAAAAGTATAAATAGTGTGCTTAGCGCACACAAACTGCGCTCAGCTCGAGTAGGTCTATGCTGAAACTCAAAAATGGATCATAATTCCATGCTTTTCATCCACTATCACCCACACTAAATCAACTACATAAATCTAAAGCTGTCAAAAATGTAAAAAGTTGGGTTTGCTCCCAACAAGCACTTGTTTTACGCCGTTAGCTTGACGCCTTTATTTATTGACACTCCTCTATGTTACCTCTTTGTATGGCTAATTGTTCACCAACGACTACTCTCAATAACCGCTTCAATAAACATGAAGGTAAACAAAGATATATACATACACAAACATGATGGACAACACAAATATACAAAATAAACAAGTATGAAAAACAAGTATAAAACAGACATATATACAATATAGACAAGTATGGAAAACATGTATAAATATACAAGTATGGAAAACATAGACAAGTAAGTATACAAGTATAAATATACAAGTGTAAATACAATATAGACGATATGCAAAGCTCAGAAACATAGAAATTATTGCAATGTTTTTAATATCTAAACATCAATCCAACAACGACACTATTTTGTTGTTGCGGTAAAACAATAAGCAAAAGTAATTATTTTGTTTTATCGTCTCCCGGGATTAGTGCGAGGGATCAAATGTTGTTCAATAGTATCTATGTTTCTAAGCTTGGTTTTAATGGTTTAAAAGCGTAAACTGCATAAAGTAAAACACACGAGCAAGTAAATAATGCATTCTTTAGAGATGAGAGAACTCATCGGGATTAGATTTCTTCTACCCATCAAATACTTAAATCTACCGATCAGTTGTATGCAACCTAAAACACTCATCAATATCATTATGTATCCCTCACATCAGTGTTCATGTCTGAAGCACCTACGAGAGTTCTTTCTTATTATTTCATCGATGATGTCTCATGCAACTAAACAATACAGAGCACTAAGAACCGATACCCATAGTGAATATTAGTTCTAAATCTATTTCTAGAATTTAGAACCTAATAGATGTTCATCCTAAATCCAGATTTGAAGAGTATATATCTATAACAACTCAAATCTAAACATAAAGCAAGTAAACAAGGATAACATCGATATAGATTTGTAAAATAGATATTATACAATGCCATGATCAATACATATACATAAAATAAGAGTAAAATTACAAACAAACCTCAACAATAAAGAATACAAAGAGAAGAAGGAAAATGAACCCGCAACTCTCGCAGTGTCAAGACAATTGATGCAAATCCAACTCCGGATCATTAAGATGCAACCTCTAATGTTGGTTTCTAAGTCTCTCTACTCAAAGAATGGTGATCACATCTCTCTAAAAATGGTGGATGCCCTAAAAAATATGATATGAATTCTATTTATACACATGAAAAATCACAGATCGCACTTAGCCCTGTTTTTCGTGCTTAGCGCACTTCCACTTAAAACACTTAAATCGCCTTATGCTGCAGAGCGCGCTTAGCCCTAAATAGCGTGCTAAACTTACTACCTTTTGTCCAGAAAACTGCCAGCATGCTAGGACTGCGCTTAGCCTAACACGTGGCTCTTTATTTCCATCCAAAAATTGCATCTTGAAGCTTTATTTGCCTTTCAATGCTCAATGCTTCAATAATGCGAACAATCTTACAAAATATGGTAAAAAAATGATTTTTATATAATATTAACATGATACAACTATAAAACTATTATTTACACTAAAGTTGAGGTTTTAACATGAATATGCAATGAATTGAGTTAAAAGGCACCACTAAAATATACTAAATATTAATACAATTTAGCACCTAAGCGATCCTTACAAGCATCATTACGATCTGTAAACTGATGTCACAAATCACCACTTGTTTTAAAGAAAAAAAGAAAAAGAGGAATAAGGAAAAAGCGTGAGGCGAAGGTTTGAGACATCAATGTTGTGTTCGGATGAGATTCAGTTTCAAAATTGAAAAAAATATATAAAATTGAATATGATTGATTGGTTTGATATCAAATTCAACATAACCGGTTCAAAAAATATAAATTATTAGTTGGAATTAAATAACGTGACATTATTAAAAATAATTTTTGTTTTGAACTAAAATTATCCCATTTTAGAGAGGTGACAGATTTAGAGGAAAAAACAATTCAGATTTGACCAATAATTTCTTTTCTTATATTATATATTATTTTATTTTAGAAAAATACATATCAACTACCTAACTAAGAACATAACATACCACTAAAAACCCTTAATTACCCTTCCTTCAAAAATAAATTTACACTCACAAATGCTCTTAATAGTAATTTGCTAAATCAATTAATGGATCAACGATATTGTCCCATTCATCCAAGGGACACATATTTTTCAATCATTCTATTGAATTTTGGCTGAAAAGTTGCATTACCTGGTAGACAATTTCATACACCATTTCTCTCTATGTGTTCTCTGTTTCACCCATAACCCTAACTTTTCTCTTTCTTTCTCCTCCTCTCTCCTGAAACCGTAACCGCTCAGAATAACATTTTCTCCCTTCAACATCCTCCTTTCTCTCTCAGCAGCTCCGTTCATCTCCCTGATTGACTTCTTATTCCTTGAGAATAAGAAACTCACAACTTTCCCTTTAAATGTTAATTTCATACCCTTTTACTGCAAGATACAGATTCTCTCGGTTATGGTTCTTCATTAATACCTTCAATCTCCGATATTAGATATTTCTTTATACATGTGCTTATCTGGATTAATGGAGGTAAATGTACCGTTATTAATTAATTACTATATATCCCGTAATTACAGATCTAATGAAATGTTTCATGTGTTTTGAAGGACCTGGATGTTCTTCTTATGGACGGGGAACTATCTTTGAGAACAGAGGTCTCGTCAAAAATCCTGATAGTTGGAACAAAAGTAACCTATTAAACTCTATTTAACTTTTTAATTAGAATTTCATAATTTTGTATATATTTTGTACTCATTTTGCATTTTCTACCTATTACAGTAGCCAATATGTTGTATTTGGATGCTCCCGCTGGTTTCGGTTTATCTTACTCCAACAACACTGCTGATTATTCATTAGTACTTAATGATGAATTTGCTGGTAATTAAAATCTCACTAATGCTTTTCAAACTTTATGTTGGTGGTATAAAATGTGTATTGTAATTTTGTAAAAGAACTTGATTTTAGAAATAATTTTGTAGTTTTGAATTCTTTTGATGATCTACAGTAACATATTAAGTTTATTTGTGACAGCAAGGGATAACCTTGTATTTCTTCAACATTGGTTTAATAAATTCTCTCACAACAAAATCAATGATTTCTATATTAGTGGGGAGAAGTATGCAGGTAGCATCTTATCTTTCTCTTAAATAAATATTATTTTCCTTTTCAATTGGCTTTGTTGATTCATGCAATGCATATTTGTTTGTATATAGCTATGATTTTTTTTTGGACATTTTCAGGTGTTGCATTGGAAGTGGATATATTGGGTTATGTAAACTTGCCATGTTACTATGTTATTGGTCTTAATGTTGGACGTGTTCTGGGCAAGCTATTGGTCTTACTGTTAGAGAATCCTTACACCCTTGGATTTGCTAACTAAATGGTTTTTTCATTTACTATGAATGCTCATGTTTCATTTTGTGTGTTTTGAAGGATGTAATAGCTGAAGTGATGCTGACTTTTTGGCTGCAATGTTTTCAAGAATTCAGGTTTTGAGCAACTACAGGAGCATGGTCCAATGGATTTTCTGCACTTTTTGGATACAAGCAGCATGACTATGTAGTCTCTCTTGCACAATCATTGTCTGGCTTGGGAAAAAAAATTACATGTTCAATACTAAGTGCACACATCTTGTCTGCTTAGGCTGTGTATAATAACTGGCATGGAGTAGGATTTGATAGCTATGCTGAAAAGAATTACGGAGTCCAGTTGATGTATCAATTATAATGTCTATTGTCTAATATTATATCTTCATATCATTGATGTGAAAAATTCTTCATATCCGTGAAGTGGAGGAAATTGGTGGCAATGTGCAGGCTTCAGCTTCTAGAGCGCAAATGGGCTACACTTTTGATGCTTTGAAGACTTATGTTCCTGCTTTTCTAGGAGGTCGGTGAGCAGGGATCTTCACTGAATCCTTATGAGGACTTGTAGAATATTTTTTACTGATTGTTTAGCGTAAAACTTGAAGCATTTCTGCTGATACTAATACCACAATTATATATAGCTTATGAAATTGAAGGCTGAGATTGGTGAGCTTCCAAAACCCCTCAAGACTTGCTATTGGAAGCAATTCATTCTGCTGGTTTTTCTGGTGTTTTAGCTTCAGAATCAATACTAGGTAGACTAAATGGTGCACTTCTGGAAAAATTTGTAGCTGTAAGTTCTCAATGACTCAAAGTTGATAGTCCACTAACATTCATTGGTAATGATTCTCTATGAAATTTTATAAATGAAAACTGTTTCTATAGAAAAAACATTGAATTAGATACTATTAATATAATTAACAAAATGCCATTAATGAAAACTCAGTTTTCCGAGGTGGCTTCAAAAACAATGTGTTGATGAAGGAGGAACTCATATGTGTTAAGATGTTTTGGGATCTATACAAATGACGAAAAATGGGCTCCTCGGTTGACTTTTGACCATTGAGAAACAAGAAATTATGATTATTGTGAAGCATATGAGATTATCTCTCTTTATAAAATTAATATGAAAAAGAAATAAAAGTGTTTATATAATTAATGGTCGTAAACTCTTTACTAAACAATTCAGAGTAACTGACTGATCTTGTTTCAGATGGAAGTTCGACTGGATATTCAAAACAAAGTTCTTTGTTGTTTTACCTTTCCAGAAAGACATGGTGCTTTGATGAAATTTTTGGACTCCTTAAGTCCACAATGGAGTATCAGTTTATTCCATTATTGTGCGCATGTGAGAGTTCACGACATTCTTCTACTCAACTGCTTCATGTGTACATGTTTATTTCTCCATCGCAATCTAATGGAATTCTTTTGCTTGATGTGGCTAACAGGGTGAAACTGGAGCAAATGGAATAGTTGGAATTCAGGTTCCAAGCAATGAGATGGATGAATTACATGACAGTGTCAACAAACTTGGGTTCATGTGTACTTTTGTCTTTGGCTAATGTCATAAAATTTCTATTATAGTTTCATGTTATAAGTTCTATTATATGTTTTTCGACAGATTTGTCTTCAGATTTGAAGTTCAGGGAAAATGCAATGCAGAGAAAACTTGCAACAAATACTTTTGGTCTATGAAAATATTGCAAAGAAAAAATGTTTGAACTTCGAGAAGCTTATAGAACAGTGTGATTCTATCCCCTCCCTCTCTAACAAATTTCTTCTAATTTGTTGAGATGACGTGTTCTTCTCAGTTATTTTCAGGAGAAAGATGCTAATATACATTAATCATCTCTTTGAGTATGTATGTCTGATTAATGAAATGGTGTCAGGTAATACATTTTCTACAAGCTTTGTAGCTGTGGCAGTCAACAACACCTTGCAGCAACTTATTTATTGTCTTTTGTCGTAGCTAACAAGTGCAGTTTGGAGATAGATTACAAGAAATATATCTATGTCTATCCCAACATTGCCATTTGGCTGGCTGATGCACCTCATTCTGTTCTAGAAGTGATGGAAAATGTTGCTAAAAGTATTGTCTTTCAATTACATCCAAATTACAAACATATATATCAAAAGATTTGTGTTCTCCTCTCCTCTTTTCCATTGGATGAAAAACTAATCATTGCCTTTTATGTGTATTGTAGCATGATTGACAAATATTATAACTTTTTGGATTTCTGTGACTAATTAAGTTACAGGAATTCTCAAAAGCTCACTCTTTAAGAGAGCCCATGAATAGTTTCTGTTGGGCAACATATTGGACATAACTTCAGTGATGCTGCAAAGGTGAGAAAAGTGATCAGCACAAACATTACATTGTCTCTTTTGAAAGAGGAAATATAACCACAACAGAGCACAGTAGTAATATCCCTTTAAATTTTTAATATAAACTAAAATTTACATCAACTAACATATTCATATTGCAATGAAAGTCTTTTTCATTGGACTGATTTATTTGTTTCAAGACAAATTGGAATATATGAAAAAACAAGGAGTGATTGAAGGAGGTAGTGATGAGTCAACTATTTCATCTTACTAAGATGTAATTCCTCAAAGACAAAATCAAAATGTGATGCTTCCAGTTGCATGTGGGAAGATAAACACACTTCAAAATTTGTTTGACTAATACGTGACAGTATTATTAAGTTGTAGCGTGGCATTGTTGTTTCTATATATGTGGGATATGCAAGTGAGATATATGTTTTTACATGAAAAGTTATTTGGCCTTTTTAGATACTTAAACCTTTGATATGCAATAACTACAATGTAAAGAAACTTGGTCTCATATTATTAGAAAATAAATTCTGAGATGATATTATCAAAAATCAAAATGTTCTATTTACAATATATAATATATAATCTTTTCATTTGAACTTATATATATATATATATATATATATATATATATATATATATATATATATATATATATATGTTCTGGACTGGGCCCGACAGGCCCAAAGGCATTGTAAAGGCCCAGTCCAAATGGAATTACAAGGGCCACGCCGACCAGAGAGCACGACATGCTGCTCGACGGCAAACCTCCTGCTCGACATGCTGCGGTCCAGCACCACAACCTGAGGTCCTGCTCGACATTACCTCGAGCAATCCAGCTAGGGCAGACTCAGTCCATTGTTCCCCCAACGGTACTCCGAAAAGACCGCGTCTCCGTCCGTCCGCACTTCACGCAGAACATCCAGGAAGGGGACCACGTGCGGGTCCCCACTACGCACGTAGAACCTGGCAGTTCCTCCATTGGGCCAAACCTGCCCGGCCCAATGAAGGAACCTTGGCCCAGCGCTGGGGGCTATAAATCCCCTCTGCTTCCAGAGGGTCAGGTATTCATCATTCTAACCTTACACTTGCTATTATCTGCTCGTGCTCCTACTTACTTCAGCATCGGAGTGCCTTGCAGGTACCCCCCACCTCGTTCAAAAAAGCTTTCTGTTCGGAGCCAGCCGTGACGGTCCATTTCTGATCAGGTCAGATCAGTGGCGCGGTCTGTGGGAAACTAGCTTCCCCGTCTAACGAACAATTCTAAAGACCAAAGCTCAATTCAACTACCTGTCATGGCTGATCCAGCTCGCGACGAGCAGCCCGTCTGTGTCGCCGACACTAATAACGGTACCGCGGACAAGAATGGACACCTCGATAACCCCGATGATCCCGGCCACAGTACCATCCCTGTGACAACCGCCCCTGGACCTTCCTCCTACAGGGACGGGGCTACTGCATCATCCTCTTCGACCCCTCCAGCACTCGAAGACGACCCGGTAGCTCTCGCTCATTACAGAGCTGCCCGGTTCTATGAAGTCCCAGTTCCCGCCGGGGCAGATGCCACGACTCAGGCATTGTTCGCGGCCATTAATCAGACGAACTATCTCATCTTCGCCCAAGGAGAAAGATTAAGGGCACTTGAAGATGATCGACGACCCCCGAGGAGGCATCGGAGGCCACACTCTCCCCCTCCTCGGGTCACAGAAGTTCGACACCCTTCTCCCCCGCGGAGACACTACAGGGAGAACTCCAGGAGCCCCTCTCCCCGGCCAAAGCAGAGGCGGCCCTACTATGAGAGGCAGCCCGCCGTCACTGCCGGAGAACCCAGTCGCGACCCATCACGGCACGACAAGAGGCACGCCGGGGACGGGCGTGTGACCTTCAACCACCGAGCATCACGCTCGAGGGAAACTCAGCACGACCATCGTGCCAGACATAACTACAAGACCCCTTCTCTTTCTCCGGAGAGGAGCGACGAGGACGACCCCCGCGGTCCCCTGTCGCAGGCCATCATGGATGCACCAATCCCCCCGGGCATGGAGAAGCCCCCGCACCTGAAGGAGTATGACGGAGTAGCGGACCCGGTCGACCACATTGATGGGTTCGAAGCCATGCTCCACTATCATAATGTCGGGGGGCCCATCAAGTGCCGTCTTTTCCCCACGACTCTCAGGAAGGCGGTCATGGACTGGTATAAAGGACTCGCCCCGGGCTCAATTACGTCGTGGCGGAACCTGAGAACCAGTTCATCAGTTCCTTCACAGCTTCTCGGCGCCATCCGAAGACTGAGGCGGCCCTCGAGGCCATCATCCAAAGACAGGATGAAACCTTGAGGGAATTCATCAACCGCTTCAACCGGGAAGCAATACAGGTCCCCTGCGCGGACCATATGAAAAGATACTTGCTGGAGAGGGGTCTCCTCCCCGGCACGGAATTCAGAAAGGTTGTGGGTATTGAGCCACCTCCAACTTTTGATGCCCTCCTCGACAAGGCCCGAGCATACATGGACTACGAGGAGAGGGAAGCTGCCAACAGGGCCCGAGACTCCAGAGCTCGCGGTCCCAACAACAGCAGCATCTCACGACAAGAGGCTCTCCCCCGACGTACCGGGGAGAAAAGGAAAGAAGACCGACCCCGGGAGGCCCGGGAACAAAGGGGCCCCTCGGGCCGTTTCACCGAGTACACTCCGCTCACAGCTTCCCGCGAGCGTATTTTGGCGGAGTGTGCCAGTACAGGTTTCAGAGACGGTGGCGTCAAGCGTCCCCGACCTGCTCCCGCCAAGCCAGGGGCAGATAAAAATAAATACTGTCAATATCATAGGAGTCATGGTCATTTGACGGAGGACTGCGTCCACCTCAAGGACGCCATTGAAACCCTCATCAAGGGGGGAAAGGCTCGCACAGTATAGGCGAAACGACGCTCCCCGTCGTGACGCCCATGAAGCCAAGGAGCCCGAAGAAGACGCCCGACCATCAGACGAGTCGGTGCCTATCCAGACCGCCTTCTCGGTAACCAGGCCCGAGGATTTCGACGTTCCCGAGCTCCTGCAGGAGCCCCTGACAACACACAGCAGGTGGGAATATTTCCCCTCCGCCATGGTCATCAACGGGGGTGGGTTCAACGACCTCACCATCAATTCGGCTAAGAGGAAGTTGGACGAGCTGGTCGACATAGCTCCTCCACAAACTGTAACGTTCGAAAGGGTGAAGGGCAGGTCAGAGCCCATCACCTTCTACCTGGAAGAACTCCCCGGCGGAGCCCCGAACGCGGTCATCCCCTTACTGATAAGGGCAAAAATGGCCAATTTTGACGTGCATCGCATCTTGGTCGACGAAGGGAGTTCCGTCGACGTGATGTACAGCCAGCTGTTCCGGACCTTACAACTGGACGACTCACATCTCTCTCCGTATGTGGGTTCGGATCTTCAAGGCTTCAACGACTCGACTTCCAAACCTTGGGGTTATGTCGAGCTCTTGGTTACGTTCGGAGAAGGAACGGCTACGAGACAGGTTAAGGTCCGCTTCCTCGTCATTGATTGCCCGTCTCTGTACAATTGCATCTTGGGGAGACCGACACTGGCGGAGCTGACAGCGGTGCCCTCGACTGTCCATCTGAAAATGAAGTTCTATACCAAAAGGGCACGGGTAGCCACCATCCAAGGAGACCTCGCCGCTGCCCGCAGGTGCTTCAACGCTGCTTCAAAGGGACGGGATACCGTCGATGTAGGGACCAGACCCACCAAAAGGACAAAACAGGAGCCCGACAGGAAAGCATCCCCCGAGGAAGAAGTCCAGAAGGCCCCACCAAAGGTCGACTCCATAGCCCTCGACGCTCGCTTCGACCAGGACGAGCCATCTAGCAGCGAGCAAATCCCACTCCGACCTATCCCGGACGAGGATTTTGAACTCGTTCCCCTCGGCACAGACCCGACCAAGGGAGTGAAGATTGGTAAAGACCTCCCCGACTTGGCCAGGAAGCAAATCAAGGCCTCTCTACGCGAGAATGCTGATCTCTTCGCCTGGAGCACTGCAGAGATGCCCGGACTCGACCCTGAGGTCGCCTGTCACCACCTCGCCATTGATCCAGCCGCCAAGGCCGTAGTACAACGTAGGCGTAGGCAGTCTCCAGAAAAAACGGAGGCTGCTGAAAAAGCTGTAAAAGACCTCCTAGAGGCAAATTTTATTTCTGAAGCCCGGTATTCCACCTGGCTGTCAAATGTTGTACTTGTGAAAAAGAATAATGGAAAATGGAGAATGTGTGTTGACTATACCGATCTCAACCGGGCTTGCCCGAAGGATGCTTTTCCTTTACCTAACATAGACATGCTGGTCGACAACTCGGCCGGCTACAAGACTCTGTCGTTCATGGACACCTACTCGGGATATAACCAAATCCCAATGGCTCTGGGCGACAAACACTGCACGGCATTCATGACCAACTCGGGCAACTATTACTACAACGTAATGCCCTTCGGACTGAAAAACGCCGGAGCAACTTACCAACGTATGATGAACAGAGTTTTCAACAAACAAATTGGCGACATGCTCGAGGTATATATGGACGACATGATCGTCAAATCCCGAGCAGACACCGATCACGCAGCTCATCTCAAGACAGTCTTCGCCCAAGCAAGACAGTGCAAAATGAGGTTTAACCCCGAGAAGTGCACGTTCGGGGTTAAGGCAGGAAAATTCCTTGGATTCTATCTAACAGAACGAGGGATTGAAGCCAACCCCGACAAATGTCGGGCATTCTCCGATATCCCGACACCGACATCGAAGAAGTCGATACAAATCATGAACGACATGCTGACGTCACTATCCCGCTTCGTCGCGAAGTCTGCTCAGCACGCCCTCCCCTTCTTCAAACTCC